GCCTAGAATCCCCAGTGAGGGGCTGGGGGCGTGGTCAGGGTGGAGCCCCACCTAGAATCCCCAGTGAGGGGCTGGGGGCGTGGTCAGGGGTGGGACCTTTGCCTAGTGTGCAGGAGGCTGAGTTCAAACCCTCACTAAGGGGACCCCCTCCAGAATCCAGGCTTTGTTCCAGGCAGCTGACACACAACTTCCTCTATCCCTCACGGCACTGTCCCTGTCCTCCCGCAAACATCATTAATAAGAGACTTTCTTGACTCCTCGGTCTCATAGACTGAACACCTTGGGAAACTGAGTCTCAGAGAAGGGCCATGCCTCTGCCTGACCCGTCCACATGATCCTCAGATTTGCAGACAGTGGCGCTGGCCCCCTCTCCCTCCACTGAGTCTCCTGCCCTTAGCAGGTCTGCAGAGCCCCAGTCACTCCGCCCCCCCCGCCCTTTTTCTTCTTAGCCAGTATTCATGTAGCCCAGGCTGGCCTTAAATTCACTATGTAGCTGAAGATGGCCCTGAACTCTAACCTCCTGTCCCCATCTACAGTGCTGGAATGCCAGGTGTGGACCTCCATGCCAGGTTTGTGTGGTGTTGGGGATCCCCCCCACCAGCCACACGCACGGCAGGTGAGCCCCGGACCGCTGGTGCCAGTTCTTGTTCCTTTTTCTGTTCTAGTAACTTTTCCCACTTCCTCCTGCGTGAGCCCCGACCCCCATCCTGGGGAGTCTCATGCATTGGTCCCACTTCCCTTCCTTGGAAAGGCTGTGTGCAGTGACCCAGGGGATGGACAGGTGACCAGCTGGCGCCAACCTCTTGGTTCCTGGTCCCCCGGCGGGTTTTTCACTTTGGTCCATTTTGTAGCTGAGAAGGTGGGCACAGCCTCAGGGCAGGGTGTGCTCATAGGGTCACGGAGAGACAGCAGCAAGGTGAGGTCTGTGTCCCGGCCCTGGCCCCCAAAGGGGAGATTTTAATTCAGTCATTATGGACCAATCACTAGAGCCATGGCTTCCCCTGTGAATTCCCTGGCCCGATTGCTTGGCCGTGTGTCTTCTGTTCTATTCACTCACTGAAGTTTGTCTTTCTTCTGGACGTGGTGGTGCATACCTGTCACCCTGGCACTTGGGAAGCTGAGGCAGGAGGCCTGGCTCCAGAATTCATGCACACACACTCCCCCCACACACAGACACCACACACACACACACACACACACACACACACACACACACACACACAGAGTGCAGGTACTGGAGACATGACTCAGCTCTTGCAGAAGACCCAGATTCAAGTCCCAGCACTCACTTGGTGGCTCACAGCTGTCTGCAACTCCAATCCCAGGGGCTCTGATGCCCTCTGGGAACAGCACAAGCATTGCACACACTTGGTGCACACAGACACACACGCAGGTAACACACTCATACACATAAAATAAAATAAAGAAATCTGAAAGAACTGTTCTAAGCCAAAGTGGTGGTGGCATGCCTTTGATCCCAGTGCTCGGGAAGCTGAGGCAGGCAGATCTCTGTGAGTTCGAGGCCAGCCTGGTCTACAGAGTGAGTTCCAGGACAACCAGGACTATACAAGAGAAACCCTGTCTTGAAAAAACCAAAACCAACCAAATAGAAATTAATTGTTCTAAAATGTCACTCTTCTTGAAATGGGTGTAGCAAAAGCAGAATATTATAAACACAGTTGAGTGGTTCCAAAGCCTCTCCCCACCCCCCATGGCAGGATGGTTTATGGTTATGAAGTCTGGTTCTTATCCCTGCCCTTTTGGCACAAAAGCAAATCCTTGGGCCAGGTTTCGATAAAACTTTATTGGTAGCCAGGAGCGCGCTCAACTGTGGCTTCTGCCCCGCCCTAGTGAGTCACTGCATTCCACCCAGCCCCAACAATGCTATGAACAGGGAGGTATGACTCGGTTTCCATGTGACATCCCCCCCCCCCCCGTGTCATACTGATGTTTTTCTGTATTTTACTTGGGTTTCTGTGTATTTGTGTGGCAGAGGTCAGAGGCCAATGACAAATGCTTTTCTCTTTTCTCTCTCTCTCCTTCCTTCCTTCCTTCCTTCCTTCCTTCCTTCCTTCCTTCCTTTCTTTCTTTCTTTCTTTCTTTCTTTCTTTCTTTCTTTCTTTGAGACAAGCTCTCTCTGTGTAGACCAGGCTGGCCTCAAATTCAGAGGTCCGCCTGCCTCTGTCTCCTGGGTGCAGGGATTAAATGCCTGCTCCATACCTAGCTCAATCTTTCTTAAGAAATAAAATTAAAAAAACCCAAGGATCAGAACTAAGGAATCACATGACAGACGCACATTTGCTGGCTCTGAAATGCGGGCAGCCGGTTGCTCCCTGCTCTGGGCCCCAGTTTCCCGACCACCACCTACCTCGTCCAACCCCGTGTCTCTGTAACCCTCACCACTGGTGGGCACCCTGCTGTTCTCATCACTGTGCACATGGAGACAGGCTCAGCTCATTGGTGCCACTGGCCCAGGGTCACAGAGCATGAGCCAGGGTGTGGTGACATCATATCCCATGAGGCATGGCTGGGTACTTTCACATTAACCTGACACACGCTGGAGTCATCAGAAGAAGGAGCCTCCCTGAGGAAACGCCTCCATGAGATCCACGGTAAGGCTTTCTCTCAGTCAGTGATCAATGGGGGAGGGCCCAGGCGGGGCCACCCCTGGGCTGTGGTCCTGGGTTCCGTAAGAAAGCAGGCTGAGACATGGGAACAAGCAGTCAGCAGCTCCCTCCATGGCCTCTGCATCAGCTCCTGCTCCGGGGTCCTGCCCTGCTTGAGTTCCTGTCCTGACTCCTTCAGTGACGAACAGTGATGTGGAAGTGTGAGCCGGATAAACCCTTGCCTCCCCGACTGTTTTTTTTTTTTTCTTTTTCTGATTTGTTTTTATTTGTTTGTTTGGTTTGGGTTTTGGTTTTTCTAGACAGAGTTTCTCTGTATAGCCCAGGCTGTTCTGGAGCTCGAGCTGTAGACCAGGCTGGCCTCGAACTCACAGAGATCCGCCTGCCTCTGCCTCCTGAGTGCTGGGATTTAAAGGCGTGCGCCGCCACTGCCGGGCCCCAACTTGATTTTTGGTCATGGTGTCTCTCACAGCAATGGGAACCCTGACTAGGACAGGGACCCACGGTGCTTCATACTGATCAGGTCACCTAGGAGACAAGCCCCACCCACAACTGTAAGGACTATTCTGGATGAGGTCAGCCTCTGGCCACACATGCTGGGGGTTGTGCAGATGAGGGTAACTGAGGGTGAAGACCCCACGGACGGGGGGTGTGAACAGCCGCTTCCGCTCCTGCCACCGTGGAGGCTTTGCCCGGGACTGAGGGCCACACAGTTCTCCCCTGTCACAGGATTGTGAGGCGGAACTAAGACGCCGGTCCACACTGAGTAGTTCAGGGCTCTGTGAGTACCGTGTGGGCACCATGGACTCTGTGAGGGCATCGTGGGCTCTGTGTGAGCTCCGCAGGCTCCATGTGGGCGTCATGGACTCCACGTGGGCTCCTGGTGGGTGCCGTGGGCTCCGTGTGGGCTCCGTGGGCTACACGTAGGCGCTGTGGGCTCAGTGTGGGCACCTCGTGGTCTCCATGGGTACGGTGGATGCTATGTGGGTGCCATGGGCTCTGTAGGCACTGTGGGCTCCTTGACGTCCTGAGGGCAGCCTCAGCGCCTACCTCTGAGCACGCTGTTTGTCCCCAGGACCCGGTGAGAGCGGGAAGAGCACATTCATCAAGCAGATGCGCATCATCCATGGCGCCGGCTACTCGGAGGACGACCGCAGGGCCTTCCGGCCGCTCGTCTACCAGAACATCTTCGTCTCCATGCAGGCCATGATCGATGCCATGGAGCGGCTGCAGATCCCCTACAGCAGGCCTGACAGCAAGGTGGGCACAAAGACCCGAGTTGTGTGATGTTTTCAGAGGCAATGAAAAGCATTTCCCAGCCTGGCATCCTAGGAACATCCAAAGGAGAGCTTGCTCAAGTCCGCCTTGACCTTGGTGCTGGAAACGAGTTACTAGGGCAGTTGATTTCCCTATTTTTTTTTTTTTTTTTTTTTTTTTGGTTTTTTCGAGACAGGGTTTCTCTGTGTAGCTTTGTGCCTTTCCTGGAACTCACTTGGTAGCCCAGGCTGGCCTCGAACTCACAGAGATCCACCTGCCTCTGCCTCCCGAGTGCTGGGATTAAAGGCACGCGCCACCACCGCCCGGCCCCTATTTTTTTTTAATATTTATTTTATTTTTAATTATGTGTCTGTATACGTGAGTGCAGTTCTCCCGCAGAGGCCAGAAGAGGATGCTGGCTTCCTGGGTTGGCGTTATAGTTGTGAACTGATCAACGTGTTAGGAACCACGGAGTTGTTGCAGCTCCAGACCTGAAGTCGATCTATTTATTGTCTGGTGTAGTATGGCTGGGCACATCGTGGCCTCTGTCAGCCACACCCCCCATTTTTAAAAAAGATTTATTTATTTATTACGTATACAGTGCTCTATCTGCATGTACACCTGCAGAAGAGGGCACCAGATCTCATCACAGATGGTTGTGAGCCACCATGTGGTTGCTGGGAATTGAACTCAGGACCTCTGGAAGAACAAGCAGTGCTCTTAACTGCTGAGCCATCTCTCCAGCCCCACACCCCCATTTTTATTGATTTTTTGTTTTTGTTTTTTTGAGACAGTGTTTCTCTGTGTAGTTTTGGTGCCTGTCCTGGAACTCACTCTGTAGCTCAGGCTGGCCTCGAACTCACAGAGATCCGCCTGCCTCTGCCTCCCAAGGGCTGGGATTAAAGGCGTGCACCATTATGCCCGGTTCTGTTGTTTTTAATGAGTGTATGTGCAGGCATCACTGGAGACCAGAGGCACTGAGGTCACTGGCACATGCTGCCATGCCTGGCCTTCTCCACTGCTTGTGTGGGCCAGTGTCCAAAGGGATGCTGGGCCAGTTAGGCTGGGTCAGACTGGCACAAGGACGGAAGAAAGTGGGAGAGGGAGTGTGTTTCAGGGATGGGTTTGGGGCCGGCAGCTACCACAGGCTGCCCGAACCTCTCTGCTGCCCCTCCACAGAAGCACGCCAGCCTGGTGATGACCCAGGACCCCTATAAAGTGACCGCGTTTGGGAAGCCATATGCAGCGGCCATGCAGTACCTGTGGCGTGACGCGGGCATCCGCGCCTGCTACGAGCGCAGGCGTGAATTCCACCTGCTGGACTCCGCAGTGTAGTGAGTCCGGGTTTGTGAGGAGCGGATGGGTCATGGGGTCGGAGCGCTGGGAATGGCCGTGGGGGCGTGGCATGGGGCGTGGTCACAGAAGGAACGGGCCAGGAGGGGAGCAGGTCTGCAAGGGGAGTGGCCAGGGCTGGGGCGGAGTCTCGGAATGTGTAGCTGGAGAGGGAAGGGGCCAGGGTGAGAGGGGCCACGGAGGACAGGGACTAGAGAGAGGCTGAGTGGCTGAGTGGCTCCGCCCAGCACTCTGAACTCTCCCAGGAGTGGATGGCCCAGATGTGTGACCCCCAAGTCAGGTCAGAGTCCTTCCAGGGCCTTAAACAACACGAGACATCCAAGGTGCTGTTGGAGGGAACACTGGCCCAGAGCTCTTGGGTCTCTGTCCCAGCCGGGTCCTTGCTTTGGCCTGAAGCCGGACCTGGCCTCACTGGTCCCCTCCACAGCTACCTGTCACACCTGGAACGCATCTCCGAGGAGGGCTACATCCCTACAGCACAGGACGTGCTGCGCAGTCGCATGCCCACCACAGGCATCAATGAATACTGCTTCTCCGTGCAGAAAACTAAGCTTCGGTGAGCACCCAGCAGATTCCTGGACTGGGGTGGGGGGTAGGAGATTCCTTGTGTAGGAGGAACAAAGGAGCTGAATCCTTGAGGGAGGGAGGGAAGAAGGAAGGGATGGATGGACGGATGGATGGATGGATGGATGGATAAATGGATGGGTGGGTGGGTGGATAGGTGTATGGATAGTTGGATGGGTGGATGTGTGGATGGATAGATGGAAGGATCTGTGGGAGGGTGGGTAGATGGATGGATGAATAGATGAATGGGTGGATGATTGGGTGGGTAGATGGATGGGTAGATGCAAGGATGAATGTAACGGTGGGTGGGTGGGTAGATAGATGGGTGAGTGGACCGATGGGTAGGTAAATGGATTGGTGGGTGGGTAGGTGATTGGGTGGATGGATGAGTGGGTGGGTGGATGGCTGCATGAATGGATGGGTAAATGGATGGATCGGTGGATAAATGGTTGCATGGATGGATGAGTGAATGGATGGATAAAAGGATGGATGGATGGGTGGGAGATGGATGAGTGGATGGATGGAGGGTGGATCCATGGATAGATGGGTAGATGGATGGGTGGATGGATGGATACATGGATGGATGGATAGGTGGGTGGATGGATGGTTGCATGGATGGATGGGTGAATGAATAAATAAATGGATGAATGGATGGTTGAGAGGATGGATGGATGGATGGGTGGATAGATGGATGGATTGTTGGTTGGGTTGATGAGTGGTTGGATGGGTGGATAGAGGAAAGGATGGATGGGTGGATGGATGGATGGATGTGTGGGTGATTGAATGGATGGATGAATGGGTGGGTGGATGGATGTGTGGATGGATGGATGAATGGATGGATGGGTGATGGATGAGTGGATAATGGATAAATGGATGGGTAGAGGGATGAGTGGATAGATGGATGGATGGGTGGAAGGGTGGATTGATGGGTGGATGGGGGAATGCTTGCAGATAGATGGTTGGATGGGTGGGTGGGTGAATGGGTGGATTGTTGGATGGATGGATGAATGCATGGATGGGTGGATGAATTGATGGATGGATGGATGAGTGGATTAATGGATGGGTGGGTGGGTGAGTGGATGGATGGATGGATGGATGTGTGGATGGATGAATGGGTAAATGGATGGATGGATGAATGTATGAATGGGTGGATGGATGGATAGGTAAATGGATGAATGCATGGGTGGGTACATTAATGGATGGATCAATGGATGAATAGATATGTGAGTGGATGGATGGATGAGTGGAGGAATGGATGCATTTGTGGATAGATGGATGTGTAGATAGATAAGTAGATGGTTGGTTGGGTGAATGAGTGGTTGGATAGTTAGATGGAAGCATGGATGCATGGATGGATGGATGCGTGGTTGATGGATGAATGGATTAGTGGGTGGATCCATGGATATATGGCTGGAAAGGTGGATGCATGGATATTGATGTAACCAACAGTCTTATTAAATAAGAAACACAGAAACAATGTAAAAGAGAAAGCCAAGAGGTCAGAGCTCAGAGCTAAAATCTCACCCTTCCGCCTGCGGTGTCCCAGCTTCCCGAAAGAGAGCTATATCCTGTCTCTTCGTTTCTTTTATAGTATGCTGTTCTGCCTTCTCATTGGTTGTAAACCCAAACACATGACTGCCTCGTCACTGTCTGAATGTACAGCCCCCTAGGTCTTAAAGGCATATGTCTCCAA